GGGTTTAGGGGTTTAGGGTCAAACCAGAACCCTATAAGGATTGATGCAAGCCACCCCGCAAACCTAGAGGCGAGATCTTCATGCTTATGCGTGCTTTGAACCAAACCTCCCAGGCCACAGCATGGATGCCCGCGCCGTCGGACAGCTCTCAGCAACCCAGCACCAGGACCTTATCAGCAGCAGCGCGAGGAGAAGAGGGAACAGCGGCCACAAGTGTTGCGGCGATGAAATCGTCAAAAGCATGATGTACTGGCAATGGCAATCCCAACCATAGTTAATCACAATGCAGTTTCCATTTTCCAGTATCCCCAAAAAAACCCAATATATCCCCTATATATAGCCCCAATATACAACCCCTACATATGCTGATTTGTTGAAGTGCGTTTGAGCATCACATCAACTACAAGCTGCCCAAGCAACAAGAAAAAGACCATCCCCCATTGGGGTAATGGTTTAGGGTTTAGGGGGTTATAATTGGGATAACGGAAAACAATCATGGAAAATAGGATAAGAACAATTAGCAAACATGCCAGAATTAAGGAGGCATGAATGTGTCTCGAGCTAACTTCTCTGCCTTATCTGTCATTAGCCATGTCTCGCCGCAACAACACAAGTACTTTTAAGTATTGCAAGGAAGCAAAGACAAGAAGTTGGTCCATGCGCTGCTACTCACCCCAAGGACCTTATAGAAAAACGATGCTAACTTCGGCACAAAGAGTCATGCAACACCACATCCCAGTCGCTGCATTTGGATACGTGATCTCGCAGATGGTTGCATCATGCGGAGCACACACTTTGCCGTAGTCCGCGTAGTTTGAGTTCAAGCCTGCCTTCGTAAGATCATAGGTGGGCATGGTTGAATTCAGACACGCGCAGGAGGTGTCGCTTGCGGAGACATTCGGCTGTGGCTTGTAGGGGCCTGGGCTGCTCAAACCCAAAACCCGAAACCCTTTTTATTGCGGATATAGGGATAATGGAAAATAAAATGGAAACTACTATAACAGGGTATATATTGGGGCTATAATAGGGTATATATTCTGTAAGCAACATCTGCTATGTGCATCGACCTTGTTTGACGGCATGATGGTTTGGTTCTGGAATGATGCTTGAGGCGTTTTCATTTCCAAAAGTCCTTCTCCAACGAAAGTGGAACCGCAAGAGAAGCCATTTACAATCTTAAAATGGCCTACATTTTGGAATTCCACATTAGTTTGCGGGAGAATACCTCCTCAACAGAACAAAAGGAAGCCAAGGCTCACTGCGCCATTGCGACAGGGTCATCTGCACAAACATTGTCAGACCAAAACAAAATGCCCTCCATTCCAGGATTCATAGACTGAATGGCGCTTGGGCATTCTTTGTCCTCGGCTCATTCCCATGCTCAAGCTCAGAGGCTCCCTGAATTTGCCCCAAGATGCAAAAGCCAGGAACCCTGGAAAGAGACCCCTAGCTTGAAGTAATCATCCGATTCGAGACAGTCAGACCAAAAAGAACCTTCTACACCCTAAGCCCAGAACCCTAAGATTAATACTGAGCCCCCCATCCAGCATCGAACCCAAACAACGACACCTAAGAGAATCTCCCGCTTGCAGGTGTCGTTCGTGGAAGTGCTTGTTTTGGAAGAAAGGTCCAGCCCGAAAACGTGACCAGTAGCATCTCTCACCTGCCTATCACGATTAATCACTTCTGAGCAAGCCCATGCCATCACGTATGTGTATGTATGCATATGTATAGGTATATGTATGTGTATATGCATATACACATATGTGCATATGTAAGCTTCGTTGGATGCATGTTTGCTCGTACGCTTGTCTTCATGCATGCGCACACACACATAGATTTATCATATATCTATGTGCATGTGCGGGCTACGTGGGTGTGGGCATATATGTGTGCATGCACATGCAGAGTTGTATTTGTACCTAATTAGCTGCAAGTATACTGTTTTGACTATGTATGCGCGCGCGAATGGCTTCTCAAATTCTCAAGTTACGGCATCTGGGATTACCTCCCAAAGACAGTCTAGCCGTAGTTACCCAGAGCCTTAAACGGGGGCCCATCATACCCCCCACCTACCCCCATACGACTCCCAGAAAGGAACTCTCCACATGAGACCCTCATCTTACTCTGTGTAATGTGTTCCCTGATTTCCTACTGACGTCCAGTAAGTCATGTCGAGTCTCCACGTAGCACCAGCTGGCACAGCACCAGGTGTCGACTTGGTCCGGACGGTAATCTGCGGCACAGTTCTGCTTGTCCTGGCTTGATTAGGGTTTAAGGCTTGCGGATTCAAAGTCTCTCAATGAAATCTATACAAACCGGACCCAACAACATCTTATAAACATGTCGCTTCACTCAAGTACAATGTGGATTTAGGCAGTGTCACAACCCCCCAAACCATTGAATCAACCCGTAAACCCTACACCCAAAGCCCTGTCTGATTGCATGGCTGAGTGGCCCAGGCGCTGCATGTGGCGCCATATGTGCTTGCAAATTTGGCATTCATGGCGGCGTTAAACCTTGGGGATGCCAGTCCCTAAACCCTAAACCCTAAACAATCGCCCCATAATCCCTAAGGGTCCAAGTACCTAATAATCCCATACTTGCCAAAAACCTGTACTATAATTACTATTACCCATAACCCAAGTACCTAACTATTGGGTACCTGGACCCTCTGGGAATGGAATCCAGAAAAAAGGGGTAGTCCGGTATTTGTTGCTGTTGCCCCCCGAAATGCACCCAAGCGAGCGCTTAAGTCATTCGCATTTAGGCATGTGCGCAGACTGCCTTCCACTGCAAGTGCACATGACGTGCTGCCAGGGGTGGAATCGTAACCCAAATCATGTGAGCTCTCAAGCAAAACAACTGAACATCCTTTTAAATCTTTAAACCCTGGGCCTCCGACCCATCATAGCCTGACATTCTATGCCCTAACTCTCACTGCACAGACCCTAAACCTCAAAACGCCTAACTCCAAGTGCACCCCAAACCCGAAGCCGAAGCCCCAACTTCAAGTGCACCCAGGCTACACGCTAGCCTTGTTCTTGCACTGGCACGGATCGTTTTGCCTAGGCGTGCAGACCACCCAGTGACAAAGGTAGACGGGCTTGGGGTTGAGGATTTAAGCATCTGTAGGCGTCAATGACGAGAAAAATTTGCTAATCGCAACTGTTCCCAAAAAAAGGACCTCGTAGCTATCACATGACTAGCATAAAGTCCAAATTCGCAAGAGAAAGTTACCGAAAAGGTCGTCGAAACTGCGGCATACCATGAGGGCGTTTCAAAAGTATCCAAGAAATTCGGTAGTTTCCCAAACTAGGGGGAAACAAGGTACGCCTAATCTTGGGAAATCCCCAAACCCGAAACCTTGAAACCCTGAACCCTAAACCCCGAACTCTAAAGCTCTAAACCTCCAACTTAGCGCTTTATGCCCATGCATTACCACAGACAATCCCCTCCCCACTAATTGAACAGGCACCGCTTTTTTCCTGGGATGAATGCTGAATATCAAGGAGGCGATTGATTCTAAAGCTCCTCTATTTGCCACAAATCTTCCCCAAAACGGCTGCAGTTCGGCAGATTGCTCCAAGAATAAGATAAAAACCAGGAATCGACGGGATCCCTACAGAGGATTCATTACAAGGGTTTAGGGTTTTGAGTGTTGTATTTTGAGAAACAGCCACACATGGAACCGATACAAAACCTGCAAGCCCGCCAGCATTCAGAATCCTAGTTGCTCAGCCGCAGTGGTCCATGTGCAAGGAGAGACAGAGCTCACTGAATTGCACGCCGCATAACTGAAATACCTGGATTTTGAGGGTTCAGGGCTTGGGTGGCCTCGGAACGCTTAAACAAATTTTGGTGACCATTACGAACCCCCCCACCCCCAAAGTAAAGATTTCCCCTAACATAGTGTGGTGCTACGCTGGAGGAATTTCAAAAATAAAAGGGGGGGGTGCGAGTGAGGTGATTAACATGGAGCATCAAGAAGGGCCCTAATACAAAGACTCTGATTTTCGGGCTGAGCGGTCTTCCAGTCTAAGCTTCCAAAACATGGCCTGAAAGCAGAAATTGCATTGTATCTCAGAGTTTCTCAAAACCTTGGTTCTGGAACCCCGGAATATGAAACTATTCTCTGGGATAATCCTGAACCCTAAATCCTATTCGAAACTCCTTTCTTGGGAGTTCAGATGCTGCCCAGGGATTGCAACACTTCGGTAGGCGTCCGGACAATCCTCACTTCTTCAATACCAGAGGAAAACAATGGTCCAAATCTTTCCTAGAACCACAAACTACAAAAACCCGTTAAACTCTGGAGCGGAGCTGAACCACAATTTTTGGTACCGAAAAGTTATCCCAAAGGTTACCCTAAACCCTAAACCCTCCTTACCCAAAAGTTAAGAAGAGGAGAGGTAAGAGTCTTTGGACGCATAGCACCATGGCCGGCAACACCAGGATCCCACGGACAAATCACCTCAGGGGTTTAGGGTTTAGGATTTAGGGTTTAGGATTTAGGGTTTAGGATTTTAGAGTTTAGGGTTTAGAGTTTTTAGGGTTTTTAAAGATTTTAGGGATTAGGGCCTGGGATATAGTCTGTAGGGATAGTATCCCCAAAAACGGAGAATCACATGGAAAAGAACATGGAACATGACATGGACACTGGGATCATGTAGTGGTTTATAGGAATGAGGCTTCCCATAATTAGGGGGCCGCTTTATCAGGATTCCAGTATTAATATTTTGGGGGCTATATTGGGGGGTCCCCCAATGTAGGCAAACCCTAAACCCTGAACCCTAAGCCCTACGTACGTCGAGTTTGTTACATGGGCTTAGGGGTCTGAATGGTTGTCAAGCATGGACACCAGACGGAAACGAAAAAAGGAAGCTGGATGTATATAGTAGTTATATAGAGGGATTATGTTACATGCAAACAGCATTCTGAGGCCTGCTTGAGGTACCCTAAACCTGTACCGAGTATGCAGGGAATTCAGGACCATGATATGGCTAGTTATTTGGCTTCTGCCCTAGGTCCCTTTCCTACCTCATGCTCGAATGAAGCCCTATAGCAGTTCAAATGTGTAACGCCCAGAGAAATCCCTAGCTTCTCAGACTCATCCCTAAACCCTAAACCCTAAACCCTGAACCCTAAACCCTGAACCCTAAACTCTAAACCCTGAACAGCATGGCAAGTAGCCCCACAACTCTCCACACTTTGCATTGTCCCAGGCAGAGCAGCTGGTCCCATAACCTGGGTGTTGCCGTTAAGGAACTTACATCATTAAGTTACCATAATATGAGTATATTGGGTTTAGGGTTTAGGCCTTCAGTTGCCATAATATGGGTAAATAGTGAATGAACAATAGGGCTTCGTACTTATTACAGTAACTTATTCTAACATCCTTAACAGCAAGCCAGCAACTCTGACCATATGTGGTTGCTATCTCCGAAGGGAGCGTCGGGTTTGTGCATTGGCAAGTGCTAGGCACCGTGTCACTGGTCAAGTCCTCAAGCTGGACCGTGGTGTCGGTCACTACCGTCTCACCATTGAAGTCCAAAACCTTGAATGAAATCGACATTGCCTGCCAAGAAGAAGTGCGCAGTATGGAATAAGCACCACCGGCTGACAAAGCGCTACGGCATGGTATGCTGAAGATAGGCTGGAAATGTCTCTAAACCCCAAGGGAGTTAAAGCCGCACTCGTTTACAGTGGGGTCCAAGTATCCTGGTCCATCAACTTAGCCCGAAAATCTAAGCCTCCAGTTTAGCGCTGTTAGTATTCGGTGTGGAGATTGTTTCATGGTGAAGGAGTGCAGGTAGATGCTTGAAACCTTGCCTTCTTGCTGGCCCGCATGAAGCTGATGATGTACGGAGAATCCATGTCCATGGAGCTCGTCTTTTCGATGCCAATGTTGTAGTCCTCGGCAAGAGTGCAACTATACCTAAACACCAGAACCCCAATATAATCCCAATACAGCGCTCAATATAACCCCTAATATAACCCCTAATGTTACCCCAAAATACCCTATCATAATATAGTAGTTTCCTTTTTCTTTTCCATTATCTTAATATTGCCCCAATGGGCAGCCAGCAGCAGAGCCATTGCACTGGTTCATCTTCTTGGTACATACTCACTAATATTCGTATGATTAATATTTTGACTACTATTATGATTATCATTTCTACTATGACTTATGCTGTAGATCATGTTGCAACAAATGTCGCAACAACTGCTCAAAGACCGTGACCTACCCTGCGCTAGATGCAACGACGACCAAAACCATGAACACAACTCTAAGGTCTGAACTGAATAGAAGATAAGGGTTTAGGGTTTATGGGTTTGAGGATTTGGAGGTTAGGGTCAGAGCTTACTAGGGTTATATAGGGATAGGGGAAAGAAAATGGAAGCTACTATAGTATGTTAGGGTTACATAAGGACATTGGAAAAGAAAATGGAAGCTGATTTAATATGTTACTCTAGCAAAAAGGGGAGCAAAGAATGCGTAGCTACGAAAGCGTGTGTGGAAGTCACTGCCTAGCTCAGTTATGAGTTCACTACATCAAAGACGAAAGCCATTTTGCCAGTGGAGTGGTTGTGAATCAGGGTCCCAGTGGTCGAAAGCTTTACTCCCCTTTTTTCTAGAGTATTACTGGGAGGGTCATGGCGACTTAGTAAGTAGGTTAACAATGGGGTTAATTGGGCTTATTGTATGACTTATGAGGGTTATTAACCTACTAAGTCCTCATGACCCTAAACCCTATACAATATAGTAGCTTCCATTTTCTTTTCCATTACCCTCAACCCTAAACCCTATATAATATAGTAGCTTCCATTTTCTTTTCCATTATCCCTATATAACACTAATATACTAATTATGCTAAGAGGAAGTACCTTGCAGGCTCCAAGCACGTGCCGATAGAATACGAACATTTAGGGTTTAGGGTTATCATCAGTGGGTGAGGGGGTCAGAAAAAGACCTTCAGATCTTCGCATCCGTACCTTATAGCCCATTACGACAGATCCCGAAACTCCAGCCTCGAGCCGCTAAATCCTAGCTATACCATAAACCGCAAGTAAGCCCTAAACCTAAATCCTAACTAAACCCCCTAAACCCTAAACCCTAAAGTTCCCTAAACCCTAAACCTGAACCCTCATCAACTCATGGACCCTAAAACTCAACTTACTGGTTCCTAGCAGGGAATACAAAGGGGGTTATATAGGGGATTCTATAAGAGACTACTATAAGGGTTATTAAGGGGGC